TCAAGTGTTCTTTACCTAGAGGAAAGAGGTCCCACAGGGGTCCTGAAGCAGGGCACCCCCCTGGGCCTGCGCTTCCTGAAGGCTTGTTCTATCAGCTTCCCTTCAGAGGTGGGGTCGATCCTCCAAAATGAGCCTTTGCCTGGCTCCTCTTGAGAGCGGGCCACCTTGATGAAGTACCGGTTCAGGGACAGGTTGTGCCGGATCGAGTTCTAAAACCCAAAAAATACAAAACACACATATACTGTACAATTCTTTGAAATGATGACAAAATATAAAGTGTGAGAACATCCCCTTGTTGTTCCACAAGCCCTTTTTGGCTTGGTGTAAGGGCACCTCCACTTCAAGGGGTCTTTACATTGTGGGTATGTTATTATTATGGGTATGTTTAGATTTTCCGGCTATGAGTAGCTCATCCATTTATGCAATGTAATGTGGAAGAAAAGTCCACAAACAGCACACACAACAGTTTTTTGAACAACTGACTATTTTGAACACATGCAAAAAACTGATTAGAATTACTGTGCAAGATAAATTTGGTGTATAGCTTTGAACACTGGCCTTGGCTCAAGATGAGTTTTTGATGAGCAGTCACTGAGGACTCTAGACCTGATGTGGCGACTGTGTCATTACTCACATCTGCATGTCTGAATAACATAAGCCCTATTCAAGAGACCACTTTGAATCTGCTTGTCAACATTAGCAAAGACTGTTATATTGGGTTGGCAATTTAGATAAATGAAAAATGCCTTTGTTCTCTCTTCACATTCATCCAAAACCAAAAGGGAATTAAGTACTGACCTGCCAGCCTTTATCAGCTGTTCTGTAGTAGGGATAGTTCTTGGTGATGTGAGTGTATATTCCATTCAGTGTTAGCTGTTTATCCGGGGCCATGGTGATAGCTTGGACTATTAGTTGAGCATAAGAATATGGAGGTTTGGAGTCATCCTGTGGAAGATGAAAGACAGTTTCAATCATATGATCATGGGAGTATTTTTGTTGTTGTTCAGAATCAGCTTTATTGGCCGTGTTGGACACATGAGGAATTTGACTGTGGTACAGCGGCTCACAATGCGTTTGTACATGTCCTTATGTAAGGCAGCAATGGTCAAGTAAACAATATAAGGCTGAGAGAACAGAAAGGAAAGAGGTAATGTGCAAACGAGCAAAAGGAATGTGCATTAGGAAAAAAGATTAAAAAAATAAAAATAAAGTACTTATAGAGACCAGTCTAGATGCATTTTATGGATCTATTTGTACAAGGTATATTTACAGGTATTGCACTGACGGTTATCAACCAGTCATACTGTTGTGGGTTAAGTGTTAATCAGAGTGACGGCCCGTGGGAAGAAACTGTCCTTGTGCCTGGTTGTCTTGGCGCACAGTGGCCTGTAGTGCCATCCAGAGGGGAGGAGTTCAAACAGATTGTGTCCAGGGTGTGAGGGGTCTGCAGAAATCTTCTCTGCCCTCCTTTTGTTGTTGTTGTTAACAAAACACTCACAGGACAATAATAAAGTCATATATTCTCTCTAGTTATTTCACAAACACACGCATGAACACACACAGACTTAGCAAAGTTCAACCAGGAACTGTACTCTGTCCTTGTTGTCATGAGTGTTGGACAATTTTTAGACTTCAGTGAGTAACTATTATGTTGACAGTGCTTGAATTCATTAACATGTCTCTGAAGTCTATTGCCATCATCATGTAACTCTTTTTTTCTGGGATATTCTCCTTCAGTGCATTCTGAGACACAGACACACTAACAATATTTATCCATATCTTGCCCAGTTTTAAGTCTGCCCTGGACAGTCTTTTTCTCACCTTTGGGCTGTCTTCACCCGAGGCCTCTTTGTCATTTTCTGATTGGGAGTTGTCCCCTATAAGGTCAGAGGCCAAAACACGGCCAGCCCTGTAGCTAGAGAGCCCTGCCCCTCGTGGACTTGATGGACAGGAGTTTGCTGCACTGTAAAATAGATAAAACATCTTTGAGGGGTGCATTCTACATTTCTGGAACAAAAAAAGTTGTTTTTGAGGTTTACACTCTCACCTAATGGTGCCAGTAGGTGAAGGCAGGGGGCTCATGAGGTGGGCAATGTTGTCAGGAATGTTTATGGTCAGTGGTGAAATCTGGGGCTGGATGGTTTTGACTGGGGATTCCGGCATGTTCCTTGGCTCCTTCTTGTCATTGGACAGAGCTGTGAACGTGATCTTTATACTTGTGCTGGGGAACCGGAAACAACACCTGAGAACCAAAGACAAACACAGAAAAACACATCAGTGTGTCTTCAATGTCGATACATGTCCAGGTAAATTATTGTACATTTGACTACATTAGTATGAATATTTGTCTACATCTGAATACCAATTAAATATGTGCAGTGCTTATGACGATGTTATATAGAAAGTCCTCCTGGCTAGCAACAGGCAGGTCAAGGAGGTTAACTGAAGCCCACAGAAGAGCACTGAGAATCAGCCTCACAAAGACATGGACATGAAACATGGTTATTATGTAACATATCATGTCAAATTTATTATTAATAGGATACATTTAGAATAGCTGCTGAAACCTTCAAATCACTTACTATGGAAACAATATGACCACATCCTACTCAATCAAACATTTTTTAAGTTTCAATGTAAAATGTGAGTTATCAGCACAACGTTTTGCAATATGAGGTTGTACTGAGGGGGTACTGACAAACAAGATGAGCAATGTAAACACAGACAAGGAACAAGAGATCAAGCTGACATTGAGCTACAAGTTAACTACAGCACTAACCTGCATTAACCTACAGCACTGGTCCATGCATTTGTTACTTCCAGGCTGGACTACTATAACTCTTTACTATCAAGATGTCCCTAAAAATTCCCTGAAAAGCCTCCAGTTAATCCAAAATGCTGCAGCCAGAGTACTACAATGTATATGCTATATAACACACTTGTGTGAATAGTAGGCAACCGTGCACACATTCTTAGCTAAACAATGAGTCTGCGAAGTGGAACAAATGTGCGTTAACATTATGACGAATAAACTACAATACCCAAAAGATGAACACAAGGTCGCGAATCATCTTAAACGTGATTTTATATTTGGCAACAACACGACTACATTTTGATACCTGGCAAGGAGAGTTCATGTGACGTTATCGCCATACAAACCAGTATGGTTAGCATGTATCATGCTACATGCTGCTTAACACAACACGTGCAACACCGCTACGGGATAACAAAACATGAGCTCATAAATCGACAGATTTCTTTTAGTTTAAGCAATCTGGCCATATCAATCTTACATTCGTGGAAGCTGGAGAGGTGGCGCCCCTCTTCTCTGGAACACCCCATCAACAAACACCCCGTTTTTCCCTAGGCATCGGAGATAGTATTCCCCTGTGCCAGTGCCATCCTCTCCCGCGGTGAATATTTCGAGGTGCCGCCGAGAGATGAAGCTGGAATGTCCCATACTGACGTCCACCGAGCCCTGCGAGGAGTTCCGGCCGATGGTCACCGACTTTTTCTTCATCAAATACTCGAATTCACGGCCCTCCAGCCGGGCTACCGCCGACCCCAACATCCCGCTTATCACCGCCATCTTCTCGAGTATTTGGTGAAGATTTGAAAATGTGTATTAAACGCAAACTAAGCTGTTACAGAGAATCGAATAGGTGATTTTTTTTTTTTTTTTTTTTTTTTTTTTTTTGAAAAAGGGGGGGGGGGGGGGGGGGGTCAAATTTTACACAGCGGAGAATTTGGCTAGGAACGTGCCAGATCGGGAACACAGCGGCTCCGACCCACCGCAGCGAGGGGACGTTAGCCAATCGAAAGCGGCCCAACGGGCGGAAGTACTGCAACAGACAACCCCTTCCACCACTGGGAAACCGGCTTGGGTAGGCAGATGTGTGATGTTTTCCAATGACAACAAAAATACAAATAATCTTAAAAAGGAGGTCGGTTGCACTGCAGTGTGACACGCAGATGGATACAGGAATGGAAAAAGCGGTGCAGTGAATTCAAGGACTACACAAGACCAGAAGACATCTCATCCGTTCATTCTGTAAATGGCTTTACTAGGTCCACATCTTTAGAAACATTTCTCTGCGCAGCTTTGACCAAAATGATGAAAAACGACCTTATTTTGCATTATTACATTATAAGGTACAAAACCTCAGTCTTCTCAGAAAGCTCTACCCTTATAAACAAAGAATAGAATGAATCCAAGCCAAATAAAATTGATTTTCGTATATCTGTAACCTGGTTCCTGCATTAACCTATTTTGGCCATTTGGGGGCAGCGGAAACAAGCATACATATCTAATATTAACATATTGACATTATCACCTTAAACAGTTAACATGACAAACATGTCTATTTATACATCCAGCAGACATGAAACAGCATTATCCTTTATTTTGGGTTATGTTTGTGTTGCATGTTAAATAGTCTTAGCTCTGGTTTTGGTCTTCATCAACTCCTACTTGTAATCACTAACTTGATGCTGGGCAAGTAGTGTATCAGCTTTTCCAGTGAAATCAGCTGGCTGCTGCTGTAAAGGACACTGATAAGAATAGTGAGAGTGACAAAAGAATAACATGAAAGATGCTAAAACAATAGTGTTGTAGGAGGAGTATAATAGGAGCTGAGGGAAACTGCAAGTTATAATTATCACCTGACACTGCTGTTTCACCCCTTTCATATTACATAAGCAAATTTGATTCCGCCATAAGATAAAAATATGATTAATGCAAATTTTTTAAAAAGTGTACACCAGCAGAAAAGCCTCCACAATTTCACTAATCAATTTCCTAATTAAAATTTTCAGTGGGCTAAATTTTCTAGACATCCCTGCTCTGTTATTGTTATTGTGGTAATTTATGTATAAATATTAGGGCTGTCAAAGTTAACACAAATTCCTAGCACAAATGTTTTTGACGCGATTAGCGCATGCACGTGTGACAGCAATTTTGAATGCGGATTCATACATTTTATTCATTCATTAGGTCGTATGTTTAATGATTGTAGACTCTGTTCCTGGGTGGCATAGTGGTGAACACTGTCACTTCACAGCAAGAAGGTTCTGGGTTTGAGCCCCAGCTGACCCGGGACCTTTCTATGCGCAGTTTGCATGTTCTCCCTGTGCCTGCGTGGGTTCTCTCCAAGTACTCCAGCTTCCTCCCAAAGACATGCAACTTAGGTTGATTGGCAGCTCTAAATTGCCCCTAGGAGTGAGTGTGAATGTATATGGTTGTATAAGCTCTGTTTTATTACAAAACTTCTTCCGGCTCTTTCAAACCAGGAACTCACAAAGACGAAGTAGACCACTTTAGATTTTATAAAAAATAACCGTACTGGTTTATTCAGAGGATCACATGTAAAATTAACATTACACGTCTAGATCTCTCCCACCACCAACCTGCGCGCAGGCAGCTTGGAAGATGAAAGACCCTGAACCAAAAAACCTATACAATATTAATCACTTAGCTGGGCTAGCCCATTCTACCCAGGCACGTCAAACTGTGACATCACCTGATATGCCAGCTTGCAGCTGACCATAACAATAGTCAAAACATGAGGAAAAGTCAAGGTGTGTGGCTGTTGATTAGTGGTGTGTATCTAAGAACAATTTGACATGACATTTCACATTAAGACAAATATTAAGATTAGCATTACAGTTAATAATAACAACCCTCCTTGCCTGCAGCCTTTGTCTGATTTAATTAGCCTTGGCCTAGATGCAGTCTGCAAGCACATCAGAATAACTGAGCATTTACAGCCTGAGCTAGACATCCTGTCTCCACTAAACATTTCTAGACAACAAATCTCTGAATATCTATCCAACTAAGAAATAACCTAACAGTTGTTTGTCTACATGTTCAGGTTAAGAAGATATTAACCAGGTGTATCTGTATTCTGCATCATGGCGCCCTCCAAGGCAGACGTGTTTTGGTGTTCCACTCCCGAATGGCTGCTGTGTATGTTAGCCCAAGAGCTAATTCCTCGTCGGCTCTCAGCAAACTCCACGACATCATTAGCGCGCTAGAGACAGCGCACCCCGATGCTATATTTATTGCTGCAGGTGACTTTAACCAGTGCTGACTGTACTTCCCAAATAAAACAAGTAGGTGTGTGTAGGTTGTAAGATTTGATTCTTATAGGCTCTAGTTACTTTATAACCTTTTAGTTACTTTTCATACCTTTTACTTTCCTTGCTTATACATGTTAAAACTGTATTGATGATTGTCCAGAACTACTTTAATACATTTATTTTCCTTGTATATATATCTTCCAATTGTATTGATGAGTCAAGTGATACTTAAGTAGAAATTGACTACTTTAACTTCTGTGTAGACATAGTGTTTGTATTCATGAGGTCCTGCTTTGTCCTGTAATAGGATTACACAGATAGGGGGTCTGCAGCGCAGATGACCCATTGTTCAGTTGCCGCCTGGAAAATCACATCACAACATATACACCTGGTTTTGATCACATTTCAGCATGAATTGTTGCACCTTTGTCTGGGGCGGACCTAGCCCAAGAATATAAATGTAATGTAAAAACATAACTCGGGATTCAGAAGCCAGCTTTCCTGTGGGAGCTCTGTCTCTCTGAATCCAGCGCTGTAAAGACTTTCCTGTGATCAGACTTTCAGTAAACTTTCTGTTGAGTTTAAACAGCCCTCTCCTGTCTTCACTTCTCGTGCTTCCAACAAAAGAACTGGGTTATTTTCTAACAAGGTTTGTGCTTGTGAGAGAGAGTAGTGCTACACTGAGGACCACTAGAGTGTGGCTAGGTGGCCAAGTGTGGTCAAGGTCAAAGTGTTTATTTGTCATATGCACAGTTAGGAAACATGTTTCCCTGTACAATGAAATTCTTACTTTGCCGTCCACATGAATGCCACAAAATACAAATGAAATATAATGTAGTTAAATAAGTAACACAAAATCTAAGGCACTTTAAGCAGCAAATACAGCATTATAATAAAAATATATAAGAATATAAGAGAATGTATGCTGCATGGGAGCAGCATGTGCAGCAGTCAACAGTCAATGTGCAATTATGCATGTGCAAACTGAGAATGT